GTTTGCCAAAATATCATATGGAACGGAACTATTTTTTTAAAAAAATAACCATTCTCTTTGTACTTGGCAGGTCTCTTTTTGATAGGAGTTATATCTGAGTGATACCAATGCAGAAAAAGCCAAGTTGCATATTACTGACATTCTGGTTGGGAGAATACAGGGACTCAAGACAACATACATGGGTTGACAAAGGCCCTGCAGGGTAGGTTGGGCTAAGAGGAAAGGGCTGGTCTCAAGGCCTCCAATGATCTTCCATGGTTGAGAGAAGACTTTCTTCAAACCTACTTTGACCTCACAGTTATTAGATCACACTGGCTTATATTTGTCACCCATCTAGAAATGAGGCCCTAGTGTAGGGGTGTCAAACTCAGTTTCATGGAGGGCACATCAGGGTTGTGTTTGATCTTGGGCGGTAGGAGTGGGCATGGCCAGGGGTGGGATTCAAAGTTTTTAACAACCGGTTCTGTGGGCGTGGCTTAGGCGATGGGTGTGGCTTGGTGGTCATGTGACTGGGTAGACATGGCTTGGTGGTCATGTTATTGGCTGGGTGTGGCCAACTCAATATCACTCCCATGAGGCTCCGTCTCCTCGCCTGGCCTCTCATGACTGTGGGGATTCTGCAACAGTCGTAAGTGTGAAAAATGGTCATAAGTCACTTTTTTCAGTGCCATTGTAACTTTGAATGGTTGCTCCACACAAGCAAAGGACCAGCAAAGGAGGGGGAAAAAACTCCAGAGAAGTTCCAGAGACAGGAAGCCTAGTCCTGCCAAGAATGTAATAAGGGTTAACCGAGAGGCAGTTTCTGTAAGCAACACCAGAATGTTTCCTTCCTGCCTTCCTTACAGGATTAGGCCAGTAATTTCTTCTAACAACCGGTTCTCTGAACTGCTTAGAATCTTAACAACCGGTTCTAGAGAATAGGTGTGAAGTGGTAGAATCCCACCTCTGGGCATGGCCCGCTCAACATCACTCATGTCGGGGGTACCTGTGGTGGCCTGAGTGCTCTGCCAGTGAAAATGGGCTCCTGAGCTCTGTTTTTGGCTACGACGGTCTCCTGCAACCCTCTGGCATCAAAAACGGAGTCATGGCCCTCCCGAGCTCTGTTTTCACTGGTAGAGGCACTGCAGGCCAGTCCTTCTCTGTTTCCAGGGCAGCCCTGTGGGCCAGATCTAAGAACCTCAGAGGCCAGATCTGACCCTCGGGCCTTGAGTTTGACACTCTTGCCCTAGTGAATCAAGCTATTATTCTGAATAAATTAAACAGGAGCACATTGTGTTTGCCTTATAATATTTGCCTCTTATGAAACTTGCAAAAAGCACCCCACTGAAATGAATGAATATACTCAGGGTCTTTAGCCCCCCACCACCACAACCACACTCGCAAACCACTTTCCCTCTCATCCAAGAAAACCTGTAAATAACAATTACCCTTCTAGCATTCAGCATAGCATCTGATGCGGAAGAAGATGACGTGCCAGATACATAAATAACAATAATAAATAAAGCTTCATACAGTATTTTCTACTAAAATTCGTATGACCATGTACTAAAGTTCATTTATTAAATTACAGTATTTCAAATTATTTGAAATCTGCACCTGAGGAGATTGTGCTACTCCATTCTTTTATTTAAATCTGGTTGTTTGTTGTCTGTCAAAAAGCAGAATCATAAGAACACAAACGCAGAGTAGGAACACAACAATGCCTTGATAGCTTAAATGCTTCCAAACAGCGAAACCCTCCCATCTCTGTCACATTTTATTGGGGGTGGATGGAGAAAAAAGGGTTGCCCATTAGTAATCCTATATTTTCATTCCACTTCATTCATCTGTTTTACTAGCTTATGGCAAAATAAAACCCATTAATAACAGAAAGATGAAATACAGGTAGTCCTCGACTTACCTCAATTGAGCCCAAAATTTCTGTTGCTAAGTGAGACATTTGTTAAGTGACTTTTCCCCATTTTACGAACTCTTTTTGCCACAGTTGTTAAATGAATCTGGCTTCCCCATTGACTTTGCTTGGCAGAAGGTCACGAAAGGGGATCAGCATGACCCCTGGACAGTGCAACCATCGTAAGTGTGAGCCATTTGTGAAGCATTGGAATTTTGATCACATGATCAATTGCTGTAAATGTGAAAAATGGTTGCCACTTTTTCCCAGTGACGTCGTAACTTTGAACGGTCACCAAATCAATTGTTGTAAGTCGAGGACTACCTGTACTGTATTTGCCTGACAGAAAGGCAACTGTGATTGTAACACTATTCCTATGTTAGACTATGGAATATTAGAGTGCTGGGATAGGATGAAGTGAACGAGAGGATTTAATGAAGAGCTGAATCAGGGGTAAAATTCAACCATCTCGGGAGAGATAGTAGGGACGATTTGAATCGGTTCTGAGAGGTGGGAGGGACAGTTTGAATCGGTTGGCCCCGCCCACACCCGCCTTCTCCCATTGAGAGACTGAGTCCCACCAAGCCATGCCCACAGAGCCAGTAGGGAATTTTTTTTGAATTTCACCCCTGAGCTGAATGTTTGGAAGTTTAACTTTGATGCCAGGTTTTTAATGTTTATGGTTTTAATAGATTATATGTATGTATTTATTTATATAAAACCCCTTTTTCTATCTACATCTCCATACTTCAGGTAATCTAAACAAACTTCCCCTTTAAAAGTGAATCATTTGATGAAACAAATCAGTTTTCCTTTTGGGTGAATAAGCACATTTGGATGGGCTGTACTAAGAGCTTTTCATGTGAAAAGAATCTTATTAAGTTGTCTTTTCCGAAGTCATTGAACAGCCTGTGGTAATGCAGATTAAATCGTGGCTTGGTGGTCATGTGACTGGGTGGGGTGTGTGGCTTGGTGGTCATGTGACTGGGTGGGGGTGTGGCTTGGTGGTCATGTGACTGGACGAGGCACCAAAATAACCCAGATGTCTCCTGCTGGAGATAGGGGGTTGGACTAGATGATCTCTGAGGTCACTTCCAGCCCTGGATTGCTATGCTGTTTCAAACTGAATGCAAGAAGAATCCTACCTCTCATGAATGACGGAGAATATACATACTCCATGTATGAATTGTGATGGCACAGTGGGTTAGAAGGCAGTATTGCAGGCAAATTCAGTTCACTACCAGGGGTTCGATCCTGACCAGCTCAAGGTTGACTCAGCCTTCCATCCTTCCGAGGTGGGTAAAATGAGGACCCAGATTGTTGGGGGCAATATGCTGACTCTGTAAACTGCTTAGGGAAGGCTGTAAAGCACTGTGAAGTGGTATATCAATATATATCAATATATATATATATTGTATCAATACTTTGAAAAATAACTAGGTAGGAATAAAATTAGCATTGCACTAATTTATCCACCGCTTCAAGAATTAATGAACACAAGGATCTGATTAGAAATAAATTAGCCACATACACCCCCGCCATTTTCTTACAGCGTGATCGTGAATAGGCAATTCAATGCATCTTTAATCCAATCACATTTTCCTTAAGTGACCTTTGGTTTATGGCTTCATTGTCAGACTGTCTTTACCATCAAGAAACTGCTCCTAATGTGCTGAATCTCCAATGAAACCTAATCCCTTTACATCCAGCATAGAAGTATTTCTCTTCTGTGGGCACTTCAGTTATCCGAAGAGCACTTTAGGTGTTTGTGCTCCGAGAGCATTCTCAGCCTTTCCATATCTAACAATATTTGCCCGGCCTCCTCATTCTTTTCCCACAGATTCCGTATTCATGGCCACCTGCTCAAATGGTATCTTGAATAAACGTTCTGAGAACTCTTCGTGATGTTTCCAACACTGCAATTCAGATAACGAATACAAATCTTGCCAGCAGTAACAGATCTCACCCCGGCCTGGAACTCTAATTGCAGATATAACAGACACAGACTTCAGAGGATACTTAGGACTGCAGAAAAAACAATTACTACCCACCTGCCTTCAATCGGACCTGTATACTGCACGAGTCAAAAAGAGGGCTGTGAAAATATTTACAGACCCCTCACATCCCGGACATAAACTGTTTCAACTCCTACCCTCAAAACGGCGCTAGAGCACTGCACACTAATATAACTAGACACAGGAACAGTTTTTCCCCGAAAGCCATCACTCTGCTAAACAAATAATTCCCTCAACACTGTCCAACTATTTACAAAGTCTGCACTACTATTACTATTAATCTTCTCATCACTCCGTATCACCCATCCCCACCCACTTGACTGTAACTTTGTCACTTGTATCCTTACGATTTATATTGACTGTTTCCTAGTATGATTTGATTGTTGATTGTACAATATGACTATCATTAAGTGTTGTACGTTATGATTCTTGATTCTTAACAAATGTACCTTTTCTTTATCTATACTGAGAGTATTTACACCAAGACAAATTCCTTGTGTGTCCAATCACACTTGGCCAATAAAAAAAGTATTCTAATTGGAAGCTTAAGAGCCAGCCACTTTTTCAGGCCCAGTCAGAGTCCTATCCCATGATCTTGCACCATGGTCTGAGAAATCTGCAATTTCTCCCCGGTTTTTTATAGAATAATTAAAGGGTGTGAGATTTCACCCAGTTGAATGTTCACAGGAGAACATTAAGAGCTTATGAATTCTCACATGCAAAAAAGCATCCTCCCACCTTTCAGTTCTAAAAGGGATATCTGGAGAAGTCCTAGGATACCTCAACTCCAGCTTTCATGCATGAGGCGGAGGTCACCCACAAACCCGGTGCCAGCCCTAAGACCTGACCAACCCAACAGATTCCCGAATAGGCAAGGCTCCGTTAATCCCAGTGGCGGCCTTCACACGTTCTGACCTCACGCCAACGCTGCTCCTCCCAAACTTAAAAAGCCTTTGGCCCCGGGCGCTTCATAGTTGGTGCGAGTCCTTTTTCTGGGCAACAGGCGGGCTGGCAGGGTAGGGTAGGGCAAGGCGAGGCACTCCTGCCTGGTTGGGGAGAGACGGGGCGGGGCTCCTGGCTTGTTCGTTCGTCACTTGGTGTAAAGCCCGAGCAAATCTCTGGAGAGAACAACGAGCCCATTCACAGCGGCCGCAAGGGGAGCGGCGCCGATCAGTAGCCAGCAGGGCGAGGGGCGCCCCCCGAGAGTGGCTTTCCTGGGGATTCCGGCGGGCGGAGCAGCAGCAGCAGCGGCGGCGGCAGCGGCGGCAGGATCGGTGGGCGCTCGCTCTCTCTTCGGGAGGGAAAATGCTTTCGCTTTTCTACCTGTGCCTCTTGGCTGGAATCGCCCGCGCCTTCAACCTGGACACGCAGAACGTAGTCAAATGGGACGGCGAACCCGGCAGCTTTTTCGGATTTTCTCTGGCCATGCATCAGCAGCTGAACCCGAACAAGAGGCTGTAAGTTGGTCCTTCTCCGGGGCGCGGCTGAGAGGAATCTCGCCGCAAGCAAGGGGACTCGGTCGCTTGGGAAAGGATCGGGGCAGCTGGAGAAGGGATCCGGGGCAGCGGGGAGATCGGCCTGTCCAGCCATGCGGCGCCGGGGACTCGCTTGGGGCTGGGTGGGAAGGTGTAGCTCTCTGGGGCTGTCGATCCGCCGGGAGGTCACTTGATTGAAAGGGCCGATTGTCGCTTTTTTTTTTTAATATATATTTTTTGGGGGTAGGTGGGTGGAAGTGGAATCGGGCAATTCAAAAAACCAAAACCCCAACAACTGCTGGGATTGTTGTTAAGGAAAGCGCGCGCAAGCCCTGCAGGTGGGATCCGGCGGGAAGAATCTCGTGAGTTTTGTTCCCTCGGGACTGATGGTAGCTCGAGGTGCGGGGGGGGGGGTAGCTTTTGAGGGTGACGCGCGGGGGCGCGTCGGGGGGGGGGGGCCGGTTCTGAACAGCGCTCCGCCCGGGCTTATTGTGGGGCAACGTAGCTGGCGGCGCAGCTTTTGAAGTTTGTGCCTGAACGCTGAAAAAAAAACACGGTGTCCTCGTTGCACTGCCGCAACCAGAGGATGGGAGGTGTGAGCAGGAGGTGGCGGCGAACCGGGCTCACTTCCGCCGGTGTGCTGCGCTGATCTCTTCCTCTGCCACCCGAAGTCGGTTGTAGTTTGATCAGCGGGTCACCGCGTGCGGCTGTTTTTTTTTTTCCTTTTCAGTAGAACAAGTCAAGCCAACGGGTGGGGAGAGGGAGGTGTGGGGGGGAAAAACAGCCACCTGTTGGCTGGCTCTGATTCGCCTGGAACCAGATGAACTTCAAGGAAGCGGGGCAAACGGATGGGAAGAAATCAAAATGTCCGAACGGAACTGTTAGGTTTGCAAAGCTCCGCTTGTTCTCTGCGGTTCAAACAACCTGGAAGTCCTACCTGGTTGAAAGTGACTGGGTTGTTTTGTACATCAAGGAGACTCTCCAAAAGGGGCTTTAGAAGAACACCGTGGGAACAGTCTGCCCCACTGTGCCATGCATTCTTGATTCCTGATCGCAAAGGGTGTTTGGTGGAGTAGGGGAGGTCTTGCAACAAAAGGGGACATTTACAATTCTACCCCACCTCATCCAAAGAACAAAAAATCAGCATTGCCAAAGAAGCAACCAGAGTAGTTTCTCAGATTCAAAAAAAATAAAAATAAAAATGGAGACTTAGCATGCCAATTCTGAAGGTATCTTTGAAGAACCTTTCCATTTTATGCATCTTTTACCTTGTAGTACTAACTCAGCCGCACTCTGCCTTGGGTATTTCTGCCCTTAACTTCCTGTTTTTCTGCAGATGCAAGGGCAAGCCAAGGCTTTTCATCCAAAAAGTGAATCCAAAATTGGGAGCGACAGCAATTCAGGAGACTCAGAACAAAATCCACTCTGTCTTGCTTGTTCTTGGGCAAGTTATAAAAAGTAAAAATCACCTGCCAAAGAAACCAGACTGTTGCCCATTAGAAGGACTGCTCCAAAGTCAGCCACCACCGTCATTACATCAGTATGTCTTGAGAATTTGGCATCAAGAAAGGGGTATTTGAAGAGCATTGGTCCAATATTTGTGCTTAAAATCTGTTTTGCACTGGAGAAAGCAGAAGGTGATGAAGACATGAAATGATACCTGTGTTACTTTCAGATGTAGACCATGCTATTACCCAAAGAAGTACTAAACCAACAGCAATTATGTGGTTCAATTTATGTGCATTTGAAGGTTGGGGATTTGGAGAAAGAGGAGGGAACCAGCACTTTAGTAGCAGTGTAGAGTTTTTAGCATTTTTCCCCATTACCTTCTTGTAGCTTTTAGTGTATTTTCTTTCATTGCCTTCTTACACTTCAAGCAGTTTTGTAAGGTAGTTCAGTACTATTATTCTCAGGATAGCTAAATGTGGTTAAGGCAGCACAGAGAACAACTCACATAAAACCAGTGATTTCCAGTTCAGAAGTCAGTACCATACATGTTTTGTTAGATTTAAAAGAAAAAATTCAAGGAAGTAGCTGCAAACTTCTATCATTTAATCATCATGATGCAGCCTTCAAGGAATTCCTATAATATGTTTCATGAGCAAAGTTGAAACAATCTGCTATCCTATTTATATGAAATAAAAGCAAAACTGGGAAGAATGAAGTAGAAGTGGCAATGCTCTTTGGGATTGACATGACTGGGTCTGAACTACAGACTTCTTCTGTATTCATTTTTTTTACAACTTCCTTCCAGGAGTTGCATTTTTATTTTGTTAGTAGAAAGGAATTGCTCAGCTCTCCTTTCTTTGCCCTGCGGCTGGGAGAGCTGCCACAAGTGTGAACATGTGCTTCCTTGGGTACATCTGACTCATGCCACAGCTGGCACGTACCCAATAGTAAATCAGCTCACCTTTGAATTACTGTATGCTTCTTTTCCAACAGATTCCCACTTTCTTTCTTTTGGTGGATATAAGCACCATGCAAACTCCTAAGCCTTGGTTCCAGCAAAGCATTTGTAAACAAACAACTTAAGACTGCAGTTCTAGACACGTGTATCTGGAAGTAATTTTTTTTTAAAGATGGCAAGCTTCACTTTCTTAATGTTTATCTAGAATTCATCTCATAGCAGTGGGGGGGGAAATTAAACGGGGCAGCTGTAGACAAAAATTATGCAAAAGAATGAAGATTGTTATATTTAAATAACTATGTAAAAGTCACAGAGACTTTTTGTAGTCTTATTACAGTTGCCCAAATTTATTCAATCATATAATTTAGACCGTATTAAAGATTAGTGATTGCCAAAAATGTCTGCTGGTAGATGTCAAAATCAAGGCTGTATAATTGAAGCCCTGCCTGTTTACATGTGTGCAACAGTGATGTGAGAACAGAAGGAAGGGGGCTTGGATCATACAGATATCACCACCATCTTGCAGCTTTTCATGTGAGTGTCCCTGCCACATAGAGGATAATTCATGATCTACATTATTGCCACACAAGAGTATCAGCCTAACCCTGTCTACATCAGGGGTATCAAACTGGCGGCCCGTGGGCTGGATGTGTCATGCCCAGGCCACACCCACCCCAGCTCCGCAAAGGGGAAAAATGTCACGAAATGTCGCTTGACAGCAACGTGATGTCATGAGATGGACACCCGTGGTCTACATAAACCCAGACCCTATTTGAACACAAAAGCCAAACTGACATGAAATCAGTATCCAAAGTAGTAAACAAATTAGGAAGGAAGGACAAATTGCAGCCAGGTATAGTTGTTGGGAAATCTGGACTATGTCCAGACACCTGAAGTCTCTGCCCCCGCCCAAACCCATTTGGCCTTGATCAGACCTGTTTTGTTCCTAATAAAGAATTGAGCTTTTACATAGCTGAACATTCTACACTTTGACATCTTTCCTAGCCTGTGAAGACAATTCACTGCTGGCTTGACACAGTTTCTGGGCTGGAAGTAATTTGTTTGACTCCTGGGATGTTTCTTTCTGGTGGTTTCATTATCTAAGGAGAACTGAAGATAGGATTTTGGTGGTGCAATGCAGAATAAGATAAATATATGTAATTCTAAATAAACCACTGATGGAGATTTTTTGCTCTGTTTGGGTACTCTACTTGGTACAAGGAATCAAGTGGATGTTATAGAGATACATGTATCAGCATGATTGCTCATTCCTAATCATTGAGAATGCTAAAGGATTCTGGCTCCAGGTTTTTTTGGAACAAAGTTGCTGAGTCAGCTAGATTGTGTAGATGTGTCTCACTATAATATCCCTTAGTTGTGATGAGACTACCCCAGTAGGCCATAACTGTTTCTACAGAGGTTACATGACAATGTCCTAGGCTTATTACCTATTGCAGTAACTTATCTCCTGCTGGAAAATTGACAGTGATCTCTTACTCCTTCACATTCCTGGGGCAGCAAAAGTCCCATGGTTGAAGAAGATGGTAAGTCTTGCTATGGTTGTAAGTAGCCTGTGCTTTGGTCTACGGTTATATAAGTTATACCCAATGATCAATACAAAAAAAGTATTAATACATTGAAATTGAATCCAGATCAAACAAGGGTGTGACAGGGAAGTATTAATTCCAGATCAATAATAAAGTTTATATTCTGGAAAAGGTAATATACTGTCTCAGAAGGAGCAAATAAGCAGTTGGAAGGTGTTTCTGCAGGTGTATATCAACACTTTCCCATGCTTCAATAACAGCCAGGAGTATTTTTTTTAATCAGTTTTGATTGATAAGCCAAGTTAATATTTTCTTGGAGGAAAATGTCCTTAGGACTTACCTGCACACACAGGCTGATAACTTCCAATCTTAACTACTAACAGCGAACTGTCCTGGAGCTGTCTTAAGTTCACTTCCCTCTCCCCATCAGTGGGGCAAAGTGGTTGAGCAAATACATGTGTGTGGGACAGGAGCACCTTCTGAAACAGTTACATGAGCCTAGAAAAAGATTTTAAAGATTTTTAAAAAATTTTTTACTTGTTAAAACAAGTAAAAAACAGATGCTTTTCTGTGAAGGACATCTTTAGAAAGATTTGCCCAATCATACTGGACTGTAATTCACAGGGCTTGGATCTAGCGATTTAAAGGCTCTATTTCGATATGGTTCTCTCAGATTTGTTTAGGAAGACGATGGTTGCCATGGGCTTCTGGAGTTAAATTATAACTGCAAAACTTTGGAAATCATTTCTGCCTCTCTACATAAAGTTAAAGATGGGGAGAGCTAAACAAATACTGGATTTCAAGTGGGAAACCGAGGATGGACCTTTCTGTGAATCTATATATGATATTCTCTTGGGGATCCTCATTTAAGCCACCATCTCTATGTCTGTCTTCATGGGGATGTCAGGAGGGATTTTGTCATGCCCCTGGTGGAGTCTGACTCTGAGGGAGAGGAGGAACAGCCAACAGGGAATGGAAGTGTGGCTCAGGAGGTTGTGGAGGAGGCTGGGGAAGGGCAGAGGCTGGCT